GTTGAAATAATTTGTGCATATTTTTTGTTCACACGTATCATCTCAAACTTCTCTATAAATGTTTGTAGGCGAGAGAACTATTTGAAAATAAATTATGTAAATTGATCATAACTTTGCCCTCAATTGGCAGCGAATGGATGTTTTCCTGACCCTTGACTCCATGAAAATTCTCCTTATACTCTACTATTTAAAAAAATTCATACCTATGCTTTTGAGAGTGTTCTGGAGAGTTAGCGTTTACAATCTAGTTTACTTGTTAAATATTAGCACTTTTATTGAAACTATTTAACCATGTGCCGCCTACAAGTTGGGCTAACCTGTTTATGGAACTAATTTTTCATTATTGCAACTAAAGAGTGGGCGTATGGATCGTTTTGGTAAATTGTTGCTTTGTTGGTTGGCTTTTCATTGGTGAAAGATTTGTCGCTAGAAGGCTATTACTTTTCTTCTATAAAACTAAATCTTTTGTTGCACGACAATGACGTTTATACACAAATAAAATATATATTGTATTTAAACCAACTGACTTTGATACAAACTTATTCATGACAAGGTTCCATGCTCCTAACTAGAATCAGAAATTGTGTCAAAAATAGAGCTGAAACAAGCTGACGCTAAATGCTACATATCAGCTTATCCCTGAAGCAGAGATGTCAACAGATACAAGTCTTATGTTGTTCACTTATCATTTACCTCAATCTCAGTCACGATAAGATTATGATAATTAGTTAATTATTAGATTAACTAATAGTCGTAATTAGTCCTTCGCTTTGTTTACTTTGCAGAGCAAAAAACATATATATAGGTAAACTGTAATACGGTGTAAAGAAGTAATATTGTACATGAGGTCGCCTCTTGCAACAATCGTCTACGATTCTCGTCAATATTAAGAATATTTCATGTGCAGTATAAAATAATAGGGAAACAATGAAACAATCTTTTGTTGCTTGAAGAACCTTGATTTTTCCTCTTATCAAGCAAGAGGGTTTGCGCGAGGAGATCACATTAAGTCATATGGAACCATGGCATATAATGTATTCAAATCACGTGCGATGTTGTAGTTTATTTATTATATTCTAACAAATATTTCTTTTTGCCTTGGTATTTTAGATTGATAGATGTTTTTTTAGATAGAGGTGTCATGTGTGTGCAATATTTATCAGATATATTATATCAGTTTTATTGCAATATTTATCAAAACTACAAAAACAAGTTTTCAAGCTAACCTAAAAGATTGTTGGCAGTTTTAATCCGTATGATTTGAATCGCTATTAACAAAACTGTTTTTAAAATCCTCTCAGATAAACTTCCAAAACTTCAAATACTATCAATCTTCCCGAATGAAACAGATTATATTTGATGATTTTGAAAGGTTTCAAAGACACAGTACCTAGAAGGTTACGACAAGTACAAATAAAACGAATACTTTTTTCAAATAAAAGAAATGATTCCCAAAGAGGTCAATCAATTGCCATGCTTTCTAGAAATCACTTTGCGTAAAAAAGATGCTTCAGGACATGAATTACAATATTTATACTGGTACAGTGTTCCCCTACACAACCCCATATACAGGAGTAAACATCGCACTTTCAAACAACCGGCATTACGTCCGGTTACCAATTCATTTCGCCAGTTATTCTTTCAGATGGAAGGATTTTATGGTGCACGAGCGGTGCATATCTCCTCGTAAATTCGTACATTTTTTCTCACCAAACAACCAAGTCTTTCGACTAAAACTTCTTTAACTCTATACATGACTCTTTATGGCGCGTTAGTTTTTTTCGAATGCTTATAGTTGAGGGCTATATGCGACGGACTTAAAATGAATAATAAAGTGGAGACAAAATTAGTGCAAAACAAAAATCATTCCGATAAATTGCGATGAATAAGCGTATATTTTGAGAGCAAATAAGATAGAAATGAGATTCTACCATTGTCAGCCACAATTGCATTTAATCGTCATTTACAATAAGCCTTTTTTGCTGTATATTTTTCTGAGATAAGAATATACATAATACATATTGCCACAGTCATGAAGTTGCTAAAGTTTATTGCACTCTAAAAACTAGTGAACTGAATATAAAGTAATGTTAGCCATTTGTTGGTTATTGAGCAACATAAATTAATTATTAAACTTTAGATGATTGATCATGCTAAATACAATTGTTTTTTGTTTAGCATGTGTACCAGGTTAGGGCTAGGCCATAATTTTATTCGGATTTTTCTCATTTTAGTTATATTACGAGTACGGGGACTAGCCAAGTGAATCCCGTAGTATTTGTACCTGAAATTATGGCTCAACCCTAACCTGGTACACATGCTACGTTCCGGTGTCCGCCATCTTTGTGCACTTCTGGAGTACCGCTTTTTGTTTAAGAAAAACTCTGCGACACACACTTAAAAGAGTAGTCTTATTCTGAGTGATAGGCAGTTAAATTGAAATGTATTTTTTCGATAAAAAATCAGGTTTTATTTTTCAACCATCCTAATCAATCGTACATAAATAGGGAATGAAAATAACCAACATTGCTCTTTAAAGGTGGCATTAGACAGCCGGAGGCCTGCGGTATTCTTCGCATCCACTCAATTACATGGAGCCGAGGTTCTTTAATAAAATAATTTAGGGAGTTACAAAGGTAATATAGCCATCACGTATTTAATTGTGCAGTTAGTTTTTGAAGATATGAATTGAAAGGCAAAACAGGATGGAGACTATCCCATACAAGAAATCAAATAGATTTAAATGGAGAAGGCGGGTTTTGTAATACCTTATAGTGAAAAGTTGATATGCTCAATAAGGCAAAGTTTCAAGTAAGAATTGCAACTAAATTCACATTAGTAGAAACGTACATTCATAAAATATCAGTAAAGTAATGTAAATCGTCAACAGGGGCTAAAATTAATAAGAACACATTGCTTAAAGCACAGATTTAAATGAATCATCTTGGCAGCGACTGTGGTTAAATATCACGAGTTTGAAGATACTAGTGTGCTATGACATTTTTTTCCTTGGGTCTTTATTTCAAATAGGCGCAGGGCGCAGCTTGAACAGAGCTAACAAAGTTTATGCATAGGGGCAAAATAAAATATAATTTTCAACACACAAAACGCCCAATAAGTTCCATAGTGCTGAGCACTTGGCGATCAGTCACTTCATTTCAACCATGTATATAGAATGGCCTCTTGATATTCAACTTCACCGAAACAATGCTGAATGTGGTAGAATCTATATTTGCATAAATTGGGTTAGAACAAGTGAGAAATTTCGGGCATGTCTAAACCCAACATAGATTCAGGAATTTGACAAGATATTCCACAACAACTATTAGGATATGCCCCCATATCACTTTGAAAATATGCAGCCTGATGTGTTGGCCCAACCAGTGAAGAAGCACAAATAGATAACAGAATTATATAGGCATTTGGTTAGCATGAGAATATTCTGCTAATTTGTTTCTGAGACGAGAGGTCTCATATATATATATATAGCAGCATCATAACGCACACTAACTAGCCGTTGGAAAAAGTGTAATTCAACACAAGTGTACCGCATTGAAATGCCAGCCACTTTAGAAAACATCTCTTCGCAATTCATAACTGCGTGCTTGGGCATTTTGTCAGCGCTTGTCTTTTATTATGTATAATAAAATCAACGCACTCGAGTGATCCTATTTTGTTACCAGGTCTGAACTTTTTTAATTCAAAGAGTACGAAAATACAAATAGCCAAAACAAACAGTCAAAAGTAGCGCACTTAAGTGATATCACCACAGTCGCACAGTCATTTCAGCAAACGGAAAGCACCGGCAACGGAACTGGAGTTTAGCTAAACATAAATCAAAGGATATCTTGCAACTCGGAAAATGTAATATATTCAATAATAACCTGTAGAAGTGTTAGAAAGAATTAAATTACCGAATATCAGGAGCGCCAAGGAAAGGCATAAGGATTTCATAGTGCACACCAGTCCAGTCAATCAACCAGGCCATTCAGTAACCGACTTTCAGGGGATCTTATGAAGATCACCCCTCCCAAAGCATCTATCTATCTGAAGATTTATCTAATTTTTTTTTTGTTAAATTAAATTCCACTAAGTCGTCATTGCCCATTTAAAGCAGTACAATGAATAGACAGTAAATGGTGCCTCATTGTTGACTTTCCCGTTAAATCACTGATCAAGTCGATAATAATGGCGTTTGTAGCCAAAATAATACTCCCTATGAAAAACGTACTTACTACTTTTCTTCGTCAAATAAATTTAGTCAGTTGATATTTTCACTTTGTCATTCAATATATTTCTTTAAAAGTCTTTAATTTGAGATATTTTACATATTTAATTTCAAAAAGATATGATGTGGTCTTTCCAAAAAATTGAGTACTTTCTCACAAAAAACTTTGCCCACCTCTAGGCTATATTTACAGTTGTGAGAGATGAATTATATGGACTCACGTTACACAATACAGTATTTAGAAATGTAAAAAATAATGGCATACATACAAACGAATAATTATCCAATAAAAATGACAGTTATATAGACATATTAATCTCTTTATAGCAATATTTCCGTTATATTTAGCGATGGGATTTCGGTCTTAGATTCCACAGAACTTTAGGATGAGCTTGATATAAGTTATGGTTGCGGAGAATCTTCTCTTTTCCTTTGATGTCGTTGTAAGCTGACCTCGGCATTCCCATCACTGTTGCAGGTCTAACATATTCTCGGTGTTTATTCACCAAATCGGGATGAGACGCCACGCGGCTAAAATTTCCAGCCGACGGTCTGTTGTTTAAAATAAAATTGATGCACTTAACACCAATAAGTCCAGAAGTTACATAATGATAATAAACATGGCTAAAATTGCTTAAATGCAGATTAGAAATGAACAGAAAACTGTTGATAAATCTTAGGCCGATATTTAAGGCTTGCGTCGACTTGGGCGAAGCTTTTTTCTACAAAAAAATAAGAATCGAAAGTTTCGGATTTGAATGAGTGGCACGGGAAGAAATATTTCATAAAGAATCCAGAATTTATACGCTAAAAACAGTGAGCAGTGTGAATTCAACATACAATGAAGTGTATTCAGCAGAAAGAATGCGAGCAATGTTGTTAATTTCAAAAAAGGCTGAAAACAAATGAACTCTTAAAAATACAATTTTCGTCATGCAAACACAAATTTACCCGACGATACTTTTCGATTAGCAACGTTTGAACGTTTAAATATCATTTCGATGGGGAAAGAAATAATATTTTGATTTACTTGTGAGAGACACCGTCTCTGACGTCGTTTAAGTGGTCCTGAAGTTCTCTCATCTTAGCTGCATGCCTTTCTTGTTTTGCTTGTTCATAAGCAATCGTTTGAAGACGTCGGTTTTCTTCTTCTTCCTCCTTGATAATATATTAAATTATTTATGAGACATTTTACGAGTATTTAATATTAAATTTCAGTCTTTATTGGTTTCACCTTGAATACAAAAGACCAAGGGCTCGATAGTTTCAGCAATTTGGTTATTTTTACGTAACTGATTTCTACAACGTACGCAATTCTATCTTTGAAAGTCTTTCTATATATTTGACATGATATTGCGATAAGAAAGCAATTTTTTACAAACCTGTAAAGAAAGCGATTTTTTACAAACCTGTTTGTCAAACAACACTTTGAACGTGTGTTTCAAACGAAACAAGAAACACTAGACGGAAAGGTGTGACAATATTGTATTCGCTTATCGTATTGATCCCTCTGTGTTAGAATGTATATAGAGTAAATGACATATGACTGCATTGAGATTTCATTAACATTTGTTGCTTATAAAATGTTTTTGTGGCACAAAATCTTTTTCGGTGAAGATAAAAATGATCTGTGCTGATTGCAGTAGCTGGGGGTCTACTAATACGTAGCTTTACTAGAAGAGCGTCCCTTTCCCAGTTCATAAGGAGCTCTGTATGTAATACCGAAAGCGATGCGAAATAATATGGCAAATACAGGCGTTGTTCCCAAACACACTCCCGCCAAGAAGAGACACAGAAGCCTATTGTTGAAATTGTGCTATAAATAACTCGACGACGGTTCATTGTTCCGCCACCAACACAGCTGTTTTGTTTCAATACCAATTCTATCACATTATGACACTATCTTGTTACAATAGCTCAACAAATGGTTAATTTGTAAAAGCAGGATCTTATCAACAATGTGCACACTTTCAACAAAACCAACGTAATCAATATCGTAATAACAATTAGTTATGGCAATTTCTTTTAAACTGATACTTCGTGTAAAATTTGATATTAAATGTCCTGATATTTTGTTTACTTCAATCCTCAATACTTCAATTTGGACTCCGCACTTGACTTTATAAAATTCGGATTTACTCATACTATAACGTATACAAAAGCGAATGATAATAGAATATATTCAGAATTAGATGGATAGCCTCATTCACCTGAAGAGGTTCGGAGGAAACCTGTAATAATGAAGCCTTCATAGGCTTTTAAACATATGTATATTATTGAAATTCTAAGTTATATATCGTTTCTGAAACCTTTAAAATATTTTAAATTTTTTTTCTTTCGTTAGACTTTGAATTCGGTTATTATCTGTGCTTCGATGATTGCTTATTATGGTTTAGTCAAGAAAACGAGTAATGTGAATATATTTTACAACCTGTTGCACGGAGATCAATTTCTCTGGAACTAAAAGATGGTGTTCAACTTACTTGAAGAACAGCAAGTCGGGCAAGGGCGGCACGTTTGCGATCAATTACTCTCTGCCGTCTCAATGCCTCTGCATGAAAGGGTCCACAGCTGCTTGCCATCGTCTCCGTTGAGCGTTCTTGTCTTTCCCGTAGCTCTGGAACGTTTATTATAAACTGTCCCGAGTAGGCCACTTAGACTATTTAAGAGCTATTAAGGTCGAAATCTATATGAAACAGCTGAAGGTTAAAGTTTTTCAGAAATAAACGAGAGTACCAGCCTCCTGACCGGTCTTTTCCAGAAGATAAAACAAACAACAAGACTGCGCCACGGATGAATTGCGCCGGCGGAGATACACTCCAGCCACGGCCCGGTCTAAAATCGACTACCATTGTATTGAGAGTATTGCGTTTCAAATTCCTTGTTTACATATCTAACCGCCACGAGGCTGCCAATTGAGCCAACAATATATATGTTGAATGATGGTGTTCTATTGTTTGTCAGAGTTTCTCAATACCCTGCTACGTCTGGAATCCGTTAACGATGTTACGAATGCAATTGCACAATTTGAACGGAAGCGATGACAAAATTTTCAATGCTTGATTTTTAATATATATATAATATTAGATAAACTATTTTTAGGCGTGAGCGATTCTGGTCTGATCGCGCAACCGTATTGTCAATTTGTCGTTATGTTTTATAGCATTGTTAAACGACACTGTTGCAAACTGAAGCACCAACGACATCAAAAAGCAAGTTGCCGTCGCAGGAATGGCATATCTGCGACAAGCACCTTGGTATTCTCATCTACGAGAAAAGTCTCGGACTTTGACGCGAAGATCGCATTCCTCTTTCCTGCCGGTTGTATATCTCTAATTTTAGTGCTGGGTATCAACCTAAAATGGAGTGATGAATAATACAGCACCATAAAATACTAAAGTTGATAACGCGACAAAGTCATCATATGTTCACACAGATGTTCAAATATAAAACGTCCAAGTTTATATTAAAGGATATGAGTGTAAACTTATTCTAATTTTTGTTTAATTTCCTTTTTCAATCAAGAGTGGGCGGGTTTCGAAACTGAGTCGATTTGAGGCATTTCAGGGCTTTGATTCGACATCAGTTTCATGTAATTTTTAGCGATTTCTCATCCAACTACTTAATATTAATTGACCTTCCACTGTCACACGTCCATATAAATATATACTTATATGTGAAGTCCAAACCATAGGCTACTTGGTCAAGGTTATATATGACAGCTTGTCGAAAAAAAAATCACTTTATTCGTCGTTAGCGACCGCCATATCGAAAAACCCCTCTAGATTTAACTAATATGATGTCTATTCACCCTAACTCTCCCGCTTTGTTAATAAAAGCTATGCCGCTTCTGAACTTCGGCAGCATGAACTAACAAAATACCAGTGGCGGCGCGTGGTCATTTTGACAACCGGGGCAAGCTACTGCGGGACCAAGTCACCCCCATCTACGGGGACAGGATGAGCGCTGTAAGTTCTCCCATCATTTTATGAGTATAAAAACCATTCCATCGGTAACAACCAATCGGCAAAAGCGACAATTTTTAACGATAAGAAAGTGTCTTTAAAACCGGTCCAAGTCAAGGGGTTAATAAATATAGACATAGTTTATTTTGAAACCTCTTTCAAAAGGAAAGGCAATATTTACCCAGATAAATACAATGACATATTAACAGAAACTTCGGGAAAGCAGACAAAACCTAAAATAAGGTTTAAAACGTTACTATGAAGAAAGGAAAGGTAATGCAAAGATAAGGACATGCGTCGCTCACTCGTAGATATATATGCTGCTAGACTTCTACTGCTTGAACCAATGACATTAAACAACATGATAGGCAACTCTGACGTCACTCCATAAGACTACAGGCAAAACATTGTATTTCATGATACGCTCCAATGCACATATTTCTCGTCGCCTTTCGCGTCCGTTTTCCGCTCGCTTTTGCTACTCGGCGTCTTTTTTACGTGTAGTACCTGTCTTTTTGCGCCTGTAACGAAACAAAATAATCTCTATATCTAAGAAGTTTTGCTTACTTGGAAAGCTGGAATAACAGGCAAGCTGTAAAGAGCAATTCTGGACATCATAGACGTTTTTTATCAGAGAAGATTACAAACGCGATAGCGGAAAGATTTGTGTGGAACATTTTGCAGATAATGACAAAGTTCAAAGTTAGTAATTTTAATGTTTGCGCTTAATCATTGAAACTGTGCTGCGATACAATTCCATAACACAAAGTTTGCACCTATCGAACTTGCTTTTGTAGGTGAATTTATTAGACATATTACATATTCAGTTAATCGTAGGTAACATTGCTGGTACATAATGCATCGTAGATAGGTTTGTTTAAATTTAGGAATTTTCATAGCCCACTAATTAATATTATCTTCTATGCAGGAGGTTGCAGGGCTGAATTCAACTTGCAGCCTTACCGATCACCTGACGATGCTCATTTAGTTTGGCTCGAGCAAGTCTTCTTGAAATGCTTGTGTGGATGGAAACTACCTATATTTTTTGCCTTCCTCCGATTTTAGACAAATTTATTCTGAGGGATTTCGCATATAATTCTCACTGATTGTTGGCTGTTTATAATTCCTATTGATTGTGAATTCTGATTATAACAATGAGTTGAAAATTTTTTTACCTAATTTACTGGCACCTTTTTCTTGTCAATACTCCAAGCTGAGGTAATAAACATGACAATACATTTATGTCATCTGGAAGCAAAATATGCACACTAATTAATAGTTTGGCACATTGAGATAATACATCATGACAGAAAATACAAGTTAAAGATATGTATGACCATCACATGGTAATTAAAATTAAAAAAAATTAATAGGGGCTGTGGAGTATGGAAAGTTCAAGACAAAGAAAAGAACAAATGTTCATAGCTCATGAACTCTCAATTTTGCCTCCATTGCTTTGTGAAGGCCAATATATTTCGAGTGGCTGAATTGGTTTACCTTTATGATAGCAACGATTTTGTATTTAATATAGCGAGATTATTTCAATTTAATTGAAGTGATATAATTTCCCAAAGCAATGCTTGAATCGTCTAGAATAGATCAGTGGTGTCAAACTCATGGGTTTTCGAGAGCCGCATTGCATTTTGAAAATTGTAAAAAGAGCCGCAAACAGTTTTTGATAATGTATACTTAAAAGATATTTTTAAGATAGTTTTAGTTTGTGACATATATTGTGATGCAACTAAACAGTTGGATTAAGTTTTATTATTTTCTTCAATTTCAAATGCAATTACATATTAATATTTGCATTCCACTATTATTGCAACATTTGCAAGTTACAGTATTTATTATAAAAAATCGTAAAATTCTATGTACAACCATCAAAATCATTTTTGAACAAGCTTTGAATAAGGAAAGAATAATACATACACTAAAAATAACTTAATCTAAATATATGAACCTAAAATTAACAAAAATACTACAGTATAAACTCAATGTTTTAATAATTACATTTGTCCTGGCGTTTGGCATCTTTTTTGTGTCACCAGCATACTAAGGCCAGTCTGAAATGATTTTATAGTACCAACTCTAACTAACGAGGCCACATGATCATGGGTTTATCTGGATCTTTACGAATGTTTAATTAATTCCAGTAATGCAAAAAAGTTACTTTTATCATTTCATGTATAGATCAGTAAAAAAACAAATGACAGATTTTTTCGACAAGACATTTCGCACTACATTGCGTGGCATAGGATTGCTTGAATTATTATTGATATTGATTTTTAGTAACTAAGTCGTTGTATAATTATATTAATATACAAACACATGGAAATTTTCTGTTCGAAGTTGGTCTTCGAATTTGTCATATTGACTGCTGAGCTTATTGTGTTTTTTGATTGTATTGATGGAAATATGACAAATTAAACAATGTGCTTCAGAATTTTGTGAAGAGCAGAAATGTTACAACTCCCATTTTCTTCGAAAATGCCACCTTCTTCATGTACTTTGCGTTTAATTTAATTACTCAAGTGTTTTATTCAAGTATTCTTTTGCTAGCTTGATGTGTATTCTTAATTGGGTCAAAATGTGGACAAAAAAATTAATATTCCAAAACTACTTTCTAAATTGTTTTCTGTGTGAATAATCAATTTCACTTTAGAAGGTTTGAAAAATCTATTACATTTAGATAAAAAAAAAACTTCCAAAATACTATTACAATTATTGTTAAGCGTTCGAGGGCCGCACTGGAAGTTCTCTGGGGCCGCGAGTTTGAGATCCCTGGTCTAGATTGAAGTTGTTCAAAAAATATATGATAGTATTTTATCATGAATGATGATTATACCCCTTCCGGAATTTCTTCTATAGTACTACCAAAAGTTGATGAACCAAATATAACACAGGTGCAGTGAGGTACCCGTAATCCTCATTTCCAAAGCTGTTTTAAGTATGTCTGGCGTGTTTTGTGCCTTTTTACAAATAAGACCGCTTATGCAATCTTACGCTTTGGAATTTTTAGTTATTTTCCTCAAGCCCTGCAGGATGTGGGGGCCATACACAACTCTACCGGAGGGTCAAATGTCTTTGCATGCCTCCATAGGTTGTTTTTCTATTGCAATTTTATTTTCAATTGCATTATATTTCTTGGAATCACACTGTCACTGATATGTCGCCAGACTTCTGATATCTCCCCGTCTGCTATAGTTGTCCTGTGAATAAATAATAGGAAATTGAGATTAGACGAATAGTTGAAAGTTTTGCTTTATGTCGGCTTAATTTCTTGATTGATATACTTACTATTTCTGCTATTGCCTCTTGTGCTGCAAGAGTCTCACAATGCTTAGACAGGTTTGTCCACAACTTTCACATCTGAAGAAAGAGAGGAGATTTATTAATTTTCGTTAAGAATAAATAAAGCAGTCTATATGATTCAGAATGGAAAAGCTAATAAATCCAATATCTCATGTTTTATTTAAAAAATATTTTACTGAATTTGGTATATAAACCAACTAATAAAAGGGTTTAGTCAGAAAATTACAAGCATTCGTGGCTCCAAATACTTGAGAAATCAGACTATACAATATAGACCGGTATGAGTGAAATGTTAGGTGAACTTGTTAACACTTTGATTCAATACGCAAATAAAAGTGAATGCGTAATAGTATGTTACAATGAGCAGCAATCAACAATGAGTATATATCCTCACTGATTAAAAAAATCTAACTGGAGGTGCATGAACTATTTGAAACCATAAGGGTAAGTAAATATGTAATTTCGGCAAATGGGCAACTACGTACCGTACTGAATTAATAACTTCGTAGTATTTGACAAAGG